TCCCAGTGATCATCACCTCCTGATACTTACCCCTCCCACACTGACTCAAGGCTGGCTCTGTGTGACCAGAATGCTGTAGAAGTGACAATGTTGACTTCAGAGGCTTGATCAAAAAAAAAACCCAACAACAGCAACGACAACAAAAAAAACCATTGCAGCTATGGACTTGTTTTCTTGAATTACCTTGCTCTGAGGGGAACTAGTCACCATGCTGTGAGGACTGATGGCTGTGTGACCTTGACAACTTATGTGATTTTTCTGAGCTTCAGTTTTCCTCACCTTTAAAATGAGATATTTATTTCACAGGGTGTTGTGAAGATTAAGCAAGACTTACAGGCAAAGCACATAGCAGGATGTCTGGCACATAGTAAGCTCTCACGACATTTGGCTAATTTATGATGGTGGTGCTAGTAGAAGTTGCAGTAGTAGCAATTGATTGGACGTGAAATGTGAAAGAAAGAGAGGAATCAAGGATGATTACTAGGTTTTTGGCTTGACTGAAGGAGCAATGGTATCATTTACTGAGTTTGGGAACAACAGAGGAAGTCAAGGGTATTCTTTTTATGGATCAAAGGTGCTTATCCCCCGAATAGGTAATACTAAAACTATCTTTCAATCACTTAGAAATAGCATTCAATTTTCATTTTTTCTTCTCTAGATTACATCAAACTTTTTTTTTTGTTCTAAATAATTCCTTCCCAGAACATGAGAAATTATTGAAGGAAGAGTAGTAGGAATTCTAGAAGTCAAATTATTCTGTAATCAATGACCATGTAACCCTGGATGAGTCACTGTTCTTAATTAAATAGTGGCAAGCATTGCAAAGATGAACAGCAGCAGAAAGAAATCCAGACACTTCAGGTAGTTGTCATTTTTGAGAGAGAAATATTAGCAAACATAAGAGAGATTTTATGAAATCAACATGAAATAAGGTAAGCTTTGGGGCTTATGAGAAATGGCAAAGCACTTCTATTAATTTTAAATGAAGATTTACCGATAAGTAAAGTGCTCAGGCTTGATGAAATTAGATCTCTGTTTTCTTTTTCAGACTCCCACTGGAAGGGCAGTGGTTGATGCAAATCTGGCTCCAAAGCTTTACACTTAGCTTTCATTTAGTTCACAGACTGGTTGAACAATTCTATACATAAAATTGTTTTCACAATTCTTTTTTTGTTTGTTTTAGAGACAGTCTCACTCTGTCACCCAGGCTGGAGTGCAGTGGTGCCATCATAGCTCATTGTAACCTCGAACTCCTGGCTCAGCCTCCTGAGCAGCTGGGACTACAGGCACGCGCCACCATGTTCAGCTAATTATTTATTTATTTATTTATTTATTTATTTTTGTGGAGATGCGATCTCGCTATGTTTCCCAGGCTGGTCTCAAACTCCTGGCTTCAAGCAATCCTCCTGCCTCAGCCTTCCAAAGTGCTGGGATTTACAAGCATGAGCCACTGCACCCAGCCATTTCACAATTCTTTATATCATAATATAACTATTCATTTGATCTGAGGCATATTTGGTACTTCCCAGGAGGCTCCAAATCCATTATGAAATGTTCCCAACAATGTGTTACATTGAATCTGAATTGAGGCAGCACAGACAGGGCAATTAGAAGTAGCCTGGGTTAGTTCATTAGTAACCAAACTGGGACCCAAACCCCTGGGTGCAGTCTGTGCTTAAATGTGAGCTTCTCTGGGCTTCAGCTTCTTCAACCTTAAAATAAAGGGTCTCAACCCATATATGATCATGAAGTTCTATTCCAGTTCTATATTTGATTCTAATAAGTTGCTATAAGAAAACTTTCGAGTTTTGTTTCCCTCTATTTTTGATAAAGATGGATTGCAAATAAGCCATCCACAAATGATTTTGCAGACAAGTTTATACCAGTATCTTATTGGGTTATCACACAGTGAGTGGTTCCTTCTATCACTGTGTCATATAAAACTAACTAGCCATGGATGATTGAACCTGTGAACTTCAATCATGCCAACTAAGCTTACTGAAGTGTAACTAGTTCATGAAATAACCATAAGGAAGTACAATATGTATATTGTCCACCAACTTCCTCCCACAACAGAAAAAGAGAAATGAGGGGTTTTTTTTTGAGGAGGTAGTTGCTACATTTACCATAACTATTGAAATTCTTCAATACTCTGTTTAATTTCCCTTTTTCCCCACTGTAGTTGGTGTCATGCAAGAATTTATTCACATTGACTAAGGATACTAGAAGAGTGAAGATCGGAGAATCTTAACTCTGAAATTTGGCATCACTACCCTGAACAATATAACCTTAGTTGGCATAAACTACCTGTACAGGTAAGGGCGATTTTTTTTATTCATTTTTAGCTTAAAAATTAACTTTATAAAGACAGGACTAACTTATTTAAATTTTGAAAACTGATTATTAAGAAAGGCAGTCAGCATATTACGTAGGTAATTGTTAGTAACTGAAGTTAGAGTTGTAGAACTTTTCTCATTTGTCAAATTAGCAGAGACACAATGTATGCATGAGTGACTCAAGACAGGAATTCTGCTGGGGGAATGCAGACTTGGAGATATTTTCTGGAAACCAGTTCTGCATCTGTAACATGTAACTTTTATTTGATTTCTTAAGTTTAACAGTATTTTCCAAATTTTAGAAAATAATTATCTAGTAGTTTTATAATCAAAGTTTAGTTTTGAAGAAAAGGTACATAGTAGATACAAATTTGGGAAGATAAAGATGGTGAACGAGTTGTTGTTTGTTACCCTGAGGTTGCTATAGAGTCTCAACATTTGTCTGATAAAACTAGTCTCTGCAAAAGTCTTTTTACCTCCCTTTTATTAGGAAGCATTTGCTATGGATATTCATACAGAAGCACCATTACCTTTGCAGTTTTTAGTACATTATGCATTATCTATACAAGGCAGGGGCTAATTGGTTTTCTTTAATATCACTCCAATTCCTTATGTAAAACCAAAATCTACTTTGAGCAGATAAATTTTTCTTAAATAAACAGACTCATTTCATTCTCATTTTGACTGATTTTTAAATCAGTGAAGTTATAGACTAGGTTTTATATATTTATACCAGGGTCTACACTAACTGCAACCAGATTCCAATTCACTAGGCTGCACTAGATTCAGATACAAACTTACTGAAACATATGGACTGTTTTCCGAATAAGAATTGCAAAGAAATAAAGTAAGATGATAAAGACACTCGTAGATATTAATTAAGGGTCTCACTGTTTGAACCTAGAGACACTGCGTAGCCCTCAAGTTTTCAAGTCTTTGGGTGTGGATTCTTTGGTTTAAAAAATTATTTCAAAATTATAAATCCCCTATTTCTGTAATCCAAGATGCAGAAAATAAAACTGTGATTTTAAAGAAGGGTAGAAAGTAAAATAGCCCCGAGGGGCTGGGGGCATATAAGAATATCAGAGGGTAAAATTTTTATGTTTATTAAAAGAGAATGTGATTAAGAAGAAAAAAAGATTGAGAAACTCTGTTCTAGATTATAAAAGAGTGGAGAATGTGGTGTGCAGAAAGCTATGGTGAAGAACACAGAGAAATTTGGCACATTCTGAATAGAGCTCATGAATCTTATTTGACCAGAATCCAATAACTTTAGTTACTCTTACTTGAAAGAAATAAGGAAATAAAGAGAAAAATAAGAACAAAAAGGAATTTATATGTGACTCTTGTGCACTTAATATGTACTCTTTGAAGCAAGAAATATTTAAAAATAAGACATAAAAAAAGAAAACCACACCTGCATTTATGCTGTGATTAAAACATCATATCTTCAAAAAAAAAAAAAAATCCTCTGAAAAACCCAGATATCAAATTACACCTGAGGACACATGAGGGTGCTCTAACCAATAGGCATAGCAACTACATTCTGACATACAATTTTAAAGTAAACTTTTTCTTGAAGTATGACAGTTTAACATTAAATATTTGAAATGAGATATTTCAAATGCCCTTTGGTAATGACCCTGGGATTTTGGAGTCTATCCTTGGTTGCTACACTTTCCTTCTGTTCAAATCTGGACCTTGCCTGAGTTTTTGCTCATGTGTAATTGAGTTTACTTCTGAAATATGAAGAGACTATTCTAATAGTATTAGACTGTAGAGAAATATTTTAACCTAGCCATGAAAAGACACCATTTTGAAAACTATTTACATACAATTAACGTGCTAATCAAAAACCAGTCATCTCTCTATTAATGTGGCCACAAAATACTTTTGTAACACTTTCTTTTGGCTATCACTTATTGATTGCATGTGCCTTAAAAAATTTTAAATTACAGCGGGGCGTGGTAGCTCATGCCTCTAATCCTAGCACTCTGGGAGGCCGAGGCGTGCAGATCGTTTGAACTCAGGAGTTCAAGTTCAAGACCAGCCCGAGCAAGAGTGAGACC